AGTGGCTAAGATACTTGCCTGCTAACCAGACGGCTGGTGGTTCAAACCCACCAGCCACTCCTCGGAAGGAAGGTTGGGCAATCCTACTTCCGTAGTGATACTGCCTCGGAAACCCAAGGAGGGGTCGCTATGAGTCGGGTTTGACTCGACGGCACATAACAACAACAACAACAACCCTTTGTTTATTAGTATACTTTATAATGTCACATTTATAATTTTTGTTGATCACAAGGTCTTGAGTTTCCCATCCTCACTGCAGGACTTGGTACAAAATCCACTCACTGGGTGTGGTGGGTCAGATGCAGTTACTGCTAATGGGAGTACACTTCATGGCTAAGAATGATATTCAAGAGGCATGGCAGGAATAGATAAGAGTTCACTGGAGAACATTATGCTGAGTGAAATAAGTCAGTCACAGAAAGACAAATATTGTATTAGTCCACTATTTTAAAAAGTCAAGGAAAAGTTTATATATGGAAGGAAACTTTGTTGGTTACCAGAGATGGGAGGGGAGGGGCAAGAAAATTGCTAGATAGGTAAGAGACAGGTACTGAGTTGGGTGAAGGGAAAGTCAATACACAATGAGTGACTAACACAATAACACTAAGGAAAAGGAAAACACAGAGAGATGCACCAGAGACACAAACAACAGAAATAAACACCTTTACATATGCAATAAATACTGCCTTATGAATAATAACAAACATTAATCTATAGGTAGATACATAGGTCGACAGGCTAAATGATCAGGTATGTGTAGGCAAAAGGGAATATACCCATGACTATATATAAGGTTAGGGAGCTCTGGTAGCATAGTGCCTAAGGCACTTGACTGCTAACCAGAAGGCTGGCGGTTCAAACCCACCAGCCACTCCTTGGAAGGAAGATGGGGCAATCTACTTCTGTAGTGATACTGCCTCAGAAACCCAAGGAGGGGTCGCTATGAGTCGGGTGCAACTCAACGGCACATAACAACAACAACAACATATATAAGGTTGGCAAATGATATTTCTTCATACATATTTGTATGTGCTATGTTGTTGTTGTTGTTGTTTGCCGTTGAGTCAGCCCCGACTCATAGCGACCCCTCCTTGGGTTTCCGAGGCAGTATCACTATGGAAGTAGGATTGCCCAACCTTCCTTCCGAGGAGTGGCTGGTGGGTTTGAACTATAAGAATGTCCATATAAATAGAACTAATATGGGACAAAATAGCTTCTTGGCCATATCCAACCTTCCTTCTTGGTCCCAGGGGACATCAAGCTCAATCAGCATAAAATATTACACAAGAACATTGTTCTACATCATACTTCGGTGAGTAGAGACTGGGCTCTTAAAAGTTTCAAGTGGCCATCTAGATGCAACAATTGGTCTCATTGTCTGAAGCAAGGAGGAATGGAGAAAACCAAAGACACATGGAATCAGTTGGTCTGGGGGACTGGTGGACCATGCAAATCTCAGCCTATATTACTATGAGACTAGAAAAACTAGATGGTGCCAGCTACTGGTCTGATAGAGCCTGCTGCAACGCCTGAAATGATGGCCCCCAGTTACCTTCAGGTCTGGAATTGAACTCACTCCCGTAGTTTCCAGCCAAACAATAGACAGGCATATAGGGTGAACATTTACACCAGGTAGATACACTCCTTAGAACAATTGGGTGAAATAAATCTTAACTAAGAGGGTTGAGGGGGAGCTCTGGTAGCATAGTGGCTAAGACACTTGCCTGCTCACCAGAAGGCTGGCGGTTCAAACCCACCAGCCACTCCTCGGAAGGAAGGTTGGGCAATCCTACTTCCGTAGTGATACTGCCTCGGAAACCCAAGGAGGGGTCGCTGTGAGTCGGGTCTGACTCGACGGCACATAACAACAACAACAACAAGAGGGTTGAGGACAGAGAGGGTATCTCATTATTTTTGAGCAGAAAACACTTGGGAGGAGGATGGGCTTCCAATAGGTTCTGAAGGTGCCAAGAAAGCACTCAAGAACTGGGAGGAAGAAAGCCAGGCAGACAGGTGAGAAAAGTCTTTTTAATCAGCATGGGCTGATTATATTACTCAGCACCTCTCAGCCCCAAGCTCACGCCTTGGTACGTTGCTCTGGGGTGCTGGGGCTGAGGTCTGCAAATTGTATTCCCACACATTCTTGATAGTTGGCTTTCTGTCACTGTGAGGGGAGACAGAGTGAGAGAGAGACAGAGACAGAGAGAGAGAGCACGGAGGGAGAGAGGAGAGGACAGACTGCCTTCTGTCTTTAGGCTCTGCCAGTGTCTCTCCAGCCACAACCCTATTTCTCCTACTCCAACCTCTGTCTGGCTGCTCTTGGCCTTCCTGGCATCAACCACCCCACACACCCTCAGTATCAGCACTGCCTGCGGGTGTAAAGGGGATGGATCACCTTCATGCTTCTAGTTTCAAGTACCACACCTTTTCCTTTTTGGTCATAGTCTAAATGGTAACCGCCACTTGCATTGCTAGTATTTGGGTTATCTCGGTTCTCCGTACTCCCTGGGTGATTTTGCAGCCTTCCAACATCTATGTAGTCTCTTTTCTGTCTTTGAAATGCATATCAAGGTTTTTGTTTTCCTGACTGCAAATATTATTATGATAATTTATTTATGTATGTGTATACTTAATTATGTGAGCAATTTCCAAAAAACATTGAATAGATTTTCAACCAAAGCACATCAATATGACCATAATTCATTAATGTAAGAAAAAACAAAAAGAAAAAGTAACCTGGAAGAGAAAATGTTAAAAATTTTAAGCTGAAAATATTTTTTCATCTTTATACTTCCTTCTTGCCTCTTACTGGTTGGGGAGAGTGAGCCCTTTGCAAGAATTTATGTTAAATAAAATGAGGTACATTTCCAAAGCACCTGCAGAGGCTTTGAGCTGCTAAGGTGAACAGACCAGTAAACTGACCCTTTGCTCAGCACAGCGTCCTACATGATTTCTAGATACGAGAGGAAGGCCTGGAACTTGGTTCCTTAGAGAATGGAGAGCCTATTGCTTTGCATAGGTGATTAACAAAAATTTGGAGAATACCTAGAGACCAAGCAAGGAGGAAGCAGGGAAGACCTACGGAGGTGCACCAATGACCTCAAATGACCAATGATTTTCAGAATACTGATACCCAATATTCGATTCAATATTTATCAACCTTGGGTTTGCGAGGCAGTGTCACTATGGAAGTAGAATGCCCAATCTTCCTTCTGGAACCGCCAGCCTTCTGGTTGGCAGTCAGATGTCTTAGGCACCATTCCACCAGAGCTCCTTTTATTTTTTTTTTTAATTAACTATAAAAAGACTATATTAATATAGGCTCATCATAACATAGTCAACCAACTTAAAAGGATACAGTGTCAAAAAGGAAAGAAACCCTTTGTTTCTCACCTCGATCCTTTTCACTTTGCAGGAATAAGAATTCACACCATACTTATTGTTCACTACCATTCTATTTTCACTTAACAGTACATTCTTTTAATGGCTAAGTAATATACCCTATTATGGATACTGTAATTATAATAGTCACCAAGTGATGGGCTCTTTTTATTTTAAAAATTATAATAAAAATTGATGTCCTTATGACTTACCTTCTGGCACATAAGCAAGTAATTCTGTAGGAGAGATTCTTAGGAGGGCAATTGTTAGGCCAAAATATAGGCACATTTAAATACTGACAAAATGCTCTGAAAAAACATCCCCGTAAAGCTTCCCAAGAGAACTTGTACTTTCCCGGGTCCTCACATAGATCGAAGTATCTGTCTTTAAAACTGCTTTCCAATCTAATTTGCAAAACATAGCACCTCTTTGTAATTCACATGTTTTGATTAACAAAGACCCAAACCTCCTTCAGTACATGTGTTGAGGAATTGTATTCTCTTTTCCATGAGCTGCTTTTTTATATCCTATCTTTACTTTTTATAATGGGCTGTGCATTTCTCTCACCAATTTGTGGATATTCTTACATCCATGGATATATAAGGATATTTATTTATCTGTGATGTATGAGGAGGTCTGGTGGTGCAGTGGTTAAGGCATTTAGCTGCTTATCAAAAGATCAGTGGTTTAAACCCACCAGCCACTCCTCTGAAGACAGATGAGGTAGTGTGCTTCCATAAAGATTTACAGCCTTGGAAACCCAATGGGCGTCAGAATCAATTCACTGTCAGTGAGATTGGTCTTTGGTTTCAGTTTTGTGATACATATCAGACATATTTTCGGCTTGTAGCTTCATTTTTAGAGCATATCTGGGAAGATGTGAGCTGCTGCCACAGCCCTGATTTCAAGCAGGAGAGTTCTTCAGAGAGAAAGCAGCCAAGGCGAAGAAGAGATGAGGGGCGAAGAGAAGGAGCGTCTCTTCAGTTACCGCTGTGGGATGAAAGGGTAGTGCTTCATTGAGCAAAAAGAGCATGTTTTGGAAACCAAGGGACTGTGGTTTATCCCTTAGTCACTGTCACCTCAGACAAATTGTTCAGCCTTTCAGAGGCTTGGTCTCCTCTACCACAGAGTGCCAGTAAAAATATTTACTTCAGGTGGGGCAGTTGTGTGTGTTCTATGAACTGTTGTTGTCATTGAGTGGATTTTGACTAATGATGACCTTTTGTACTACAGGAAAAAAAAAAAAATGTTGCCCAGTCCTGGCTATCTTCATGTGACTTGCTTCAGGGACAGGCACTTAATAAACAATGAAAAGTTCACAGTTGAGCCCAATAAAATGGTACATACAGATGATTTTTGATGAGCGAAAAGCGCCATGAACACATATGTTGATGTTTAACACATACCACACGGAAGTCTGTGAAATATGTGAGATTTTCCTTAGTTTTGAGTTTGGAGATTGGGATATTCTGAGAGATTCAGGTCAACTTCCACTGGTCAATGATTTGCAAATGAAGGCATGGGAGTTGGAAGAGAGGAGGAGACTAACTGGAGCAGAAGAAAAGTCTTGGGGACAATATAACTGAACGATTCCAAAGGTGAAAAGCCAAGCATTTCTTTACTATGGCTGCAGAAAAGACACTTTTGGTTCTGGAAAATTTCATAGGTGGGAAGTTTTTACCTTGTAACTCATATATAGATTCTTATGACCCATCTACAGGGGATGTGTATTGCAGAGTGCCAAATAGTGGAAAAGCAGAGGTGAGTATATTCACTTAAAGAAAACTGAAACTCATTGAATTTATTAAGTGTATTAAATTTACGTAATGTGTTGATAAATTATGGGTACTTTAATTTTCTATATGTAAAGAGATTTGGGAAAAAGCAGAGATCAGTTCAACATCAGCAGAAAGGAAATTCTAGTTCTAGAAGGGGTTTTTTTTTGTTGCTGGATACAGATGATATGTAAAACAAACCTCAGCTGACTATTAAGAAACAAGTGAGTTATCTAGCCAACCTAACACTCAGACGTGTGTCCATTGTTTTGCAACCCTTCAACATTTCTGATGGGCGA